CTACTAGACTAGCTCGTTAATCAAAGATGGTTATGTTTCCTAACCATGAACAAAGAGTTGTTATTTGATTAACGGGATCACATCATTAGGTGAACGATCTGATTGACATGACCCATTCCATTAGCTTAGCACCCGATCGTTTAGTATGTTGCTATTGCTTTCTTCATGACTTATACATGTTCCTATGACTATGAGATTATGCAACTCCCGTTTACCGGAGGAACACTTTGTGTGCTACCAAACGTCACAACGTAACTGGGTGATTATAAAGGTGCTCTACAGGTGTCTCCAAAGATACATGTTGGGTTGGCGTATTTCGAGATTAGGATTTGTCACTCCGATTGTCGGAGAGGTATCTCTGGGCCCTCTCGGTAATGCACATCACATAAGCCTTGCAAGTATTGCAACTAATGAGTTAGTTGTGAGATGATGTATTACGGAACGAGTAAAGAGACTTGCCGGTAACGAGATTGAACTAGGTATTGAGATACCGACGATCGAATCTCGGGCAAGTAACATACCGATGACAAAGGGAACAACGTATGTTGTTATGCGGTCTGACCGATAAAGATCTTCATAGAATATGTGGGAGCCAATATGAGCATCCAGGTTCCGCTATTGGTTATTGACCGGAGACGTGTCTCGGTCATGTCTACATTGTTCTCGAATCGTAGGGTCCGCACGCTTAAGGTTTCGATGACAGTTATATTATGAGTTTATGAGTTTTGATGTACCGAAGGAGTTCGGAGTCCCGGATGGGATCGGAGACATGACGAGGAGTCTCGAAATGGTCGAGACGTAAAGATCGATATATTGGACGGCTATATTCGGACATCGGAAAGGTTCCGAGTGATTCGGGTATTTTTCGGAGTACCGAAGAATTATGGGAATTCGCCGGGGAGTATATGGGCCTTATTGGGCCATACAGGAATAGAGGAGAGAGGACAAAAGGAAGGAGGCCTGCGCCCCCCGTCTGGTCCGAATTGGACAAGGGGCGCAGCCCCCTTTTCCTTCTTTCTCTCCCCCTCTTTCCCCTTCTCCTACTCCAACAAGGAAGGAGGGAGTCCTACTCCCGGTGGGAGTAGGACTCCCCTTGGCGCGCCCCCTCCTAGGCCGGCCGCCCCCTCCCCCTTGCTCCTTTATATACGGGGGCAGGGGGCACCTCTAGACACAAGTTGATCTTCACGATCGTTCCTTAGCCATGTGCGGTGCCCCCTTCCACCATATTCCACCTCGGTCATATTGTAGCGGTGCTTAGGTGAAGCCCTACGACGGTTAAACATCAACAACGTCACCACGCCGTCGTGCTGACGGAACTCCTCCCCGAAGCTTTGCTGGATCGGAGCCCGGGGTGCGTCATCGAGCTGAACGTGTGCCAAGAACTCGGAGGTGCCGGAGTAACGGTGCTTGGATCGGTTGGACCGTGAAGATGTACGACTACATCAACCACGTTGAGCTAAAGCTTCTGTTGTCGATCTACAAGGGTACGTAGATCACACTCTCCCCTCTCGTTGCTATGCATCACCATGATCTTGCGTGTGCGTAGGAATTTTTTTGAAATTACTACGTTCCCCAACACCAAGAACCAGTATGAGATCGATCAAATGAAAGCAGTACCATATGCTTCGGCAGTTGGCAGCTTACAGTATGCACAAGTGTGTACTCGCCCTGACTTAGCTTTTATCACCGGGGTACTCGGTAGATATCAAGGGAATCCAGGCATAGAGCACTGGAAGATGGTAAAGAAAGCATTGCGTTATGCGCAAGGCACGAAGGACTACATGCTAATATACTAGAGAAGTGATTCCCTTGAGATAAAAGGGTATTCAGATGCAGATTTTGCGGGGGACAAAGTTGATAGAAAATCCACGTCGGGATACGTATTCACCCTCGCTGGGGGAGCTATTTCGTGGAAAAGCTCCAAACAATCGATAGTTGCATCATCCATGATGTATGCAGAATACATAGCATGCTTCGAAGCCATGGGGCTGGCGATATGGCTAAAGAAATTTGTACCCGACTTGAAAGTGGTAGATTGTATTCACAAACCACTAAAGATGTACTGTGACAACCAGCCGCAGTATTCTATGCTCACAACAACAAGTCGAGTAATGCTGCCAAAACAATAGAGATAAGGTATTATGTTGTGAAAGATAAAATCCAGGATCAAACTATAAGTCTCGAGCATATAAGGACAAAAGATATGCTTGCGGATCCGCTAACGAAAGGCTTACCACCCAATGTGTTCAAGGAACACTTAGCCGGCATGGGTTTAAAGGAAAGCCTTATGATTCCTGGATAGGCCCAAAAAAGGAACAAAGATTTGTTTCTGAACAAAACATATGTTGTAGTTGTATGATTCTATCGACAATTAAGCTGTGACGATGAAACATGCTCTATCTACCAATATGTGATGAAACAAATAAACTAGAAAGCATAAGGTTAAAAGTGTTGAGATCAAGGGGGAGAATGTTAGGTTGATCTCATCTATGCAGGCCCAATGTCCTGCAGGGCCATTGGTCAATGCGCCCTGATCGGGGGTGCCCAACCCATTATGGTTGGTGGGCACCTGTGACCCGCGCTATATTAACAGAGGTGGGGGCCGGGGCACGACTGACGAAGTTCATTGCCGCCATAAACCCCACCTACACGCCCTACCGATCTAGGGTTAGCGCAGTGCTCACGGGAAGCACCATCACCTCGCCCACTCTCTGCCATCACCGTGTGCCACATCACAACGATGGCCTCTGGATCGAGCTCGTCTGCACAAGGAGAAGGTAGGTTTACCAGATCTAATCTAGCCCCGGATGACCGGCCGAGCGCTCAGCCGGTCGCCCCTGGCTCGCTCGCTCTGTCACGTGAGGAACAGGCTAGCACATGCGTCTGGTGGGCCTGCAGCTTATATCTTCTCTGACGATCGCAGATTCACAGCAGCCCCCTCCTCCCCTTTTCTCCCCCGGCGAGCGTGCGCCTTCTCTCTCCTCCCCTCCCACCCCCACCCCACAAGCGCAGATGGCTGCTACATCCAATCACGTCGGAGGTGCGCCCTTCGACGCCGGCGACCTTGTTTTTGCTCCAGCCGTCAAAGATTGCAACGGATCCCTGTGGTTTGCTACGAACACAACGCCGAATGGTACAACCACCTGCCGGGGAAGCTACAACCAGCGTCGAGGGAAGCTACAACGCGCAACCAGCGACATGCTTTTTTGCTACAACCGACTTCGCTTTTTGCTACTTCTTCTGCCTTTCTTTTTTGCTACAACCGAGGCTGACCGCAGGCGGCAAGCATGGTGACCGTGGGCGGCGAGGACAGGATCGTGGATTTTTGCTACATGCTACAACCGGCATTGCAATTTGCTACTACCGGCATCCAATCCGGCTGCAACCGGCATCGTGGTTTGCTACATCGCACAATGATATTCTGATTTTTGCTACAATCAGCATCATGTTTTGCTACAAACATACTGCAAAATGCTATAACCGGCAGATGCTACAATGGGTACTGGTATAAGATAGAAGGACGAGAACGAAGATGCTACAATGGTGGATGGAAAATGCTACAACCATGTACACAGATTGATACGAGTAAATAAGCACTGTAATGTGACGATGGGATGGATGCTGGGACGACGAGCGGCTGCCCGAGGACAAGGATGGCGGCGCGGCGGTAGCTTCGAGATTGCAAACGAGGTTTTTCGCGCTGGAACCGGTGAGGATCCGTGCTACAAGCTCCGTGGATAAATTTCTTTTTCGAATCGCGGGGGTAGGTTTTGCGAGGGCGGTGACCACCGGCGGCCGGCGGCGAGCCCGGGTGTGCTGCGGTGCTTTGAGCCCGATCGCCTGGCGGCGGATTACGGTGGAGGTCAATGGCGCTTGCTGTAGCCCGTCCTCTTCGTGGCGGTTGCAATTTCTGCAGGAGAATGATTGAGGAGAACGACGAAGCAACGACCATATCTGATGGCTAGCTGATGTTGCATCGTACGGTCGCGCGGTGACCGGCCCAAATTTGGGCGGGTGCGCCGGCGCCTAGTACTCTCCTTTAGCATAAGCTACTGTCCTAAAGATCTTCGGCTTCCAAACATTCGGCACTAGCTCGTCCACATGGATCTCACCAGGAAGACACCAACCTGCACAAAACAGAGGTAACTTCGCCATCCACAATTGCCAGCTCTCTTCAATCTCACAGAATGTACATCTCCAGAAATAATATCAAAACCCATGAATCAGGGTGCGGCATTCAGTTCTAGGCAATTGGCCTATATAATACTCCCTCCATTCCACAATGTAGTACTTCCTCTATCCCCGTGCTTCAACTTTGACCGTAAATTTAACTAGCAAGACCAATTGCGCCGGGAGCAAAAATTATATCAGTGAATTCGTATTTGAAAGAAGTTTTCAATTATATAATTTTTTCTCCCACCGCAATTGGTCTCGTTGATTAAATTTATGGTTAAAGTTGGACCTTGGGAAGCGCGGGCGCACTATATTTTGAAATGTAGGGAGTATACAGAAGTGAGATTAATATCATTGGTATCTAACAGTGATAGATGAGATTTTTTGAATTTTATTCCCAATTTCAGTGACAAGGTGTTCATAAGAACCCCCATTATACTCTCTTTTTTGCGGCAAAACCCCCATTATACTCAGAGTGAAACACACAACATTTGTGTGGCAGAAGCTAGATGAGACAATCATGTCTACACAAACTCATGCCTTAAACTCCACCTTGTCAATGCTTGCCATCGACGAGCACAAACTCACAGTAGACCGTTTAGCACAATATTACGTTGAAGTGAACTGGAAATAGTTGGCCACAACATATACTTTTTCTGCCCACAACATATAATTTTTTGGCAACAACATATGCATATGTACATAAGCAATTTCTTAATGTCATTGAACGATGGACATAACCGCATAAAGTAGAACTAGACAAATATGCCTGGAAAGTGCAAGCAGATACAATACTATGCACCATCAAATCTTGGCCAAGATACACTTCAAATTTTTCTCCCATGCGCAGCCTTGAGAAGGTCGATCACCACCAGAGGGCAGCTTGCCTCGAGGTGCTTATACCCCTCCGTCGCCAACACAGCATCAAGAGTGGCAGGAGTTCTGATAATGAACTGAACACATCTTGTCTTGAGCTCTGGGCAATTGTGCTGCTCGGCTAAAGCCAAAGTTGTTGCCGCCGTGTCCACGTTGATGCTACTAGAGAGCTTACCGGCACATATGTGCTTGAGCCTATCCAGTCCATACCTGTCAGCAGCAGCAAGCAGATGCTGAGCCATCACAGTCGCCGCCTTTGCATCTGCCTCCTCCTGCTGTTCATACTCTGCCTCGTCCTCCGCATCCCACTCCCGCTGTCTGAGTTCTGGCATGGTGTCTGTGTAGATGAACTGAAGCAGGGCCTTGAACACCTCAGCATCCATGTCCTTGATCTCCACACATTGCGAGCACTTCTCCTTCATGTCTCCAAAAAACTCGGCCATAAAGACAGGGGACCTTGCGGCGACAATGAGCTTGTGCGCAGAAAAAGATTCGCCGGACACGAGAAATGTGACGTCAGCTCCTGTCTCGCTCTGAAGGAGTTGAGCCAATTGCAGGTGCAAGTCAGACGATGGCAGATGCAGTTCTTCAAGGGCCGTTTCCTCTCCTATTTCCTTGAGAACATCAAGGGTGCACTGCACACTAAAAGAGTCATCCTTGACATATCCCAATCCTTCTAGCTTAATTCTCTCTGAGCTATCTTGGGGCTTCTTGAATGTTATTCTCTGAGAAACTTCATGGGATGGCTTAGGCACTCCTCTCTGATCAACCAAGCAAGCGCGAAGAGTCGTCCTCACAGCGCTGGCTGGTGGTTCACTGAGAAAGATAAGACGGAGCGCCACGAACGTGCTCAAACCCCTCGAGTCCACGACGTTTGGATCATAGATTAAAATCACGGGAGAAACGATTTCACGGCGGCCTCTCCAAGCAGCTATAGCGGAGGCCATAGCGGGCAATAACGGCAAATAGCGGAAACTTTTCTGATCGGAGAGATGATTTCTGGAGGGTTTTACTGATTTTTGAGCCATTTAGAGGGATATGTGGAGGATTTCGCGGCAGCTGCCATAGCGTAGCGGCGAGGCTCCGGGACAGCTATAGCGCAGCTATTGCGGCTATTTCGCGGGCTATTTTAATCTATGGTTTGGATATAGAAGGATCTCCCACTCATACCCGTCCACAATCCATCTGTACTTGAAGCAATAGTCGCTGCCGATGCCCGACATCATGCTAACGCCGTCGATCTTGAGCAGCCGCACCGAGCGCAGGACTTGTGTGAGGTTGAAGTTTGTGGCCAAGGGTGAAGCTTCTTCTGCGGGGAAAATCATGTTTTTCTGCGTGGGAATGATTATTGTGGATCAGTACAGTTTACTTGGACAAAAAAACTTCCGCCGTCGTCTCACCATCATCAGTCATCACGTCGTTGAGAGCAAGCGACGAGCAAAGCCTGTGCCAAGGACGACTCACCGTGCCACCGGAGAAGAACGTTAACCCGCCCGGTCGCGACATGCTTGTCAGGCGGCCCGCAGCTTTGCTATGTGGGCGGGGCCTTGCTTACGCGTCGCGCCGACGGAATAGACGGCGAGGGGGGGTCGGCTCTCGGCTGCTGTCCCGGCGTCCTGACGAGACGGCGAGGGCTGCTGTTGTAGGGGAGATCAGCGGGAAGGGAGAGGCTGCAAGCAGAGATGAGGGAGTAAAGCAAGAAGAAAAGGACTTCCGCAGTTGCGCTGGCGAGTCTCGTTGACGTAACGTATTGCGCTGGCGAGTCTCGTTGACGTAACGTAGGGAGACTGGGAGAGTGGAAGGTGACTGTAAAAAGGAAAGTTTCGCTCAGATGGGGCCTTTTCGAGAAAAAAACGAAAAGAAAAGAAGAGAAAAGGACATTTAGTCATTTACAAAGTAAAATTCCCACCACACCCGACCTAACATTTTATTCTTCCTGCCCAATGTTTCTAAGGTTTTTATCTTTTTTTCTTGACCTCTATGAGAAGAGTGTCTATTCTATTTGATAACCATCCGGGAAGCAGTACAAACGTCATCTAAGAGCATCTTCAACGGTCGCGCAACGCGCGACGCCTTAAAAAAACGTTTACAGCGCCGAATAGCCAGCTTTTGCGAGCCGCGGAGCACTGGCTTCAGTGGCCGCTGCAAAAAATTGCGCGGGCGTCACTTCGGTAGACGCGCTAAACTACAGCGCACGCAAGGAGCCGCCGCTTTGCAACATGTTTATTTTGAGGACAATATAGTGATATTTCAAACATCAAAACAAGACATGGCATAGTTTAAAACCATCCAACCAAGTTCATGACATAAAAGTTCACAAAGACAAACGGCACATCAACAATCATGCCGCACCTCATCTTCGTCCTTCTCTTCCTTCGATTTTTCATCCTCATCTGAAGAAGATTCTTCCTCCTCCTCTTCAGTGTATCACGCAGGGAGCTCGGGAGGTATTGGTAAGATCTCCAACGGCATCATGCGAAGGTATGTGAGGCACACCGGAAGACATGCCTCCACCCATGTCACTGGGAGGTGCTCCCATGCCTACCATGAGAGACGCAAAACTCATGCCTCGCATGGTAGATCCGAAGCCACCCATGCCTCCCATGCCCCCCCCCATGGTAGCTCCGAAGCCACCCATGCCTCCCATGCCACCCATGCCGCCCATGCCACCCATGCCTGCCATAGTAGCTCCCATGCCTCCCATGACCGTGGCTCTTTTTTGGACCAAGACTTCTTCACGGGCAAGATTGACGTACTTCCTTTGCTTCTCATCGAGGGTAGATGTGTCCATGAAGAACAAGTAATCTCCCATTCCAACAATCTAGTTCGCTCCTCCATGGCCAATTTTATCTCCTCCAATGCCACCTTCCTCTCCTTGGCCGCCACCTTCCTCTCCTCGGTCGCCGCATCTTGGTTCCTTGCCATCTTCCTCACCTCATTTGCTTCCTTTCTTGCGTTCTCAATTGCTTCCATAGCATTTTTAGCTCATCATCTCCTTTCCTTTTCATCTTTTCTTTTCCGTCTTTCTTGCCTCCATTTGGTCTTTTTGGCTTGGAGTAGGCAACCGAGTTTGGTGTAGGGCTTCTCTTGCCGTCATCACTTGATGCCTCCTCCTCCTCATCATCCAAATCAATAGTCCGCTTGCGTTTGTTGCTCTCCTCGTTGACATCTTCACGGGGCTTCCATTTATCATCATCCTTCAACGCATCATAGCAATGGGCAAGGTAAATAGCCTCCCTTTCTTGATCTTCCCTTTCTTGGTCTTCTCCTCTTCTTCTTGAAATAAGTTTTGTGCAATAGTAAGCTACAAACAAAAGAACAAGTTAGCACTTGAAACACCAAAGAAGAAGCACGCACATGGAAGAATCATGAAAGAAATGGCACTTACCCTATCTTTGTCATTAGTGCCACTTGGGTTTAACGTGTCAACCGCCTTAAGTGCGGCTGCCCACCTTTGAAAATCTCTGTTAATTGTCGACCACCGGGAGCGAAGATGTCTTCGTCCATGGTGTCTCTACTTTGGAAGAATCACGCACATGGAAGAATCGTGAAAGAAATGGCACTTACCCTATCAAAGTGCTCCTTCATCCGGATCCAATATGCATCTCTACTTTGGTCCCCTCCAAAAGTGTCATCCCTAGACACTTGCAACCATGTATTGCATAGCAAGATGTCTTCGTCCATGGTGTAGTTGCCCGCTGTTCCTTTTGGTGCATCGACGATACCCTCACCATCCTCGTCCACCTTGATACGTCTCCAACGTATCTATAATTTTTGATTGTTCCATGCTATTATATTATCTGTTTTGGATGTTAATGGGCTTTATTTTACACTTTTATATTATTTTTGGGACTAACCTATTAACCCAAGGCCCAGTGCAAATTGTTATTTTTTGCCTATTTCAGTGTTGCGCAGAAAAGGAATATCAAACGGAATCCAAATGGAATGAAACCTTCGGGAACGTGATTTTTGGAACAAACGTGATCCAGAGGACTTGGAGTGGACGTCAAGAAATGGACGAGGAGTCCATGAGGCAGGGGGCGCGCCTACCCCTTGGGCGCGCCCCTCCCCCCTCGTTCGCCCCTCGTGGCTCAACCGGCCTACTTCTTCCTCCTATATATACTCATATACCCTGAAAACATCCAGGAGCACAACAAAACCCTATTTCCACCGCCGCAACCTTCTGTACCCAAGAGATCCCATCTTGGGGCCTTTTTCGGAGCTCCGCCGGAGGGGGCAACGATCACGGAGGGCCTTACATCAACTCCATGGCCCCTCCGATGATGTGTGAGTAGTTTACTTTAGACCTTCGGGTCCATAGTTATTAGCTAGATGGCTTCTTCTCTCTCTTTGAATCTCAATACAAAGTTCTCCTTGATCTTCTTGGAGATCTATTCGATGTAACTCTTTTTGTGGTGTGTTTGTCGAGATCCGAAGAATTGTGGGTTTATGATCAAGTCTCTCTATGAACAATATTTGATTCTTCTCTGAAATCTTTTATGCATGATTGGTTATCTTTGCAAGCACTAGGAAAAAAAGGGGCTTTCGTTCAGGCCTGGCCAGCCCATTAGTCCCGGTTCTTCCATGAACCGGGACCAATGGATGCATTTGTCCCGGTTCGTGAGCCCAAGGGGCTGGCCGGGGCCTCGTGGGCATTAATCTCAGTTCGTACGGACCCATTTGTCCCGGTTCTAGGCACGAACCGGGACCAATGGGCCTTGCTCTAGGCCCACAAACATTGGTCCCGGTTCTTGGCTCGAACCGGGACAGAAGGCTGGGCTTTAATCCCGGTTCCAGCCTCGAACTGGGATAAATGAGTTGCCTATATATACCCCATCGCCGCAGCAGAGCACTCCACAATGCTCTGTTTTTTCTGGCCAGCGAGGAGAGGGCATTTGGGTGCTCTTGCTCACCTCCTATGCACACGAGGTGTTCGATGAAATGCCCAGGCCACGCTAGTTCAGCTTTCTCCTCTCGAAGCTCAACCTCCCAGCTCCATTTTCCCCGAGATTTGTCTAGGTTTAGCGGTCCGTCACGTCCCGTCCCCGTCTCACCGCCGTCGATCGCCCGTGCCAATCTCGTTGCCTGCACCACCGTGGTGAGCCTCTTATCTTCTTCTGAAAGAAAAAAAATTCTTACTTTGGATAGAAACTTGTCTAATTTTCTTACTTTTATTATTGCTTGTTATTATATAGTGCGATGGTTTTGGCATCCGCCCCCGTCGGCCCTCGTCCTGGCTATGATTCGGATGTGGTATATATTATCTTTTATAACTATTTGGTTCATTTATTGTTTATGACAATTATTCCCATCAAGTTGACATAGATTTTATTTATGTGGGAGGTAGTTCAACCGGAAATTCCAACCGACCCTATTGTCGAGAGGTTAAATTTAGTTGAAGAAGAAAACAATTACTTGAAGGAAAAAATAAAAAAATTGAGGAGGAGAAGATGATATTGGAGTTGCATGTTGCGGATGTCGTCGATGATCACAAGATCAAGATGGATGCAATGCGGTTGAAGATTAGAAAGATTAGAAAATATGACATTCATACCGAGGCTTGGTATCATTATGCCGTTGGATCAATTTTTACCTTGGTTGTGATTATGATCGCATTTGTTGTTGCATTGAAAGGTTTTACATAGTTTCAATGTATGGTTTAACTAGATGCTCTGGAGAGCTATATGTTGTTCAATGAGAACTACGCATGTACTTTGTTTTTAATGTGATGATGAACTTCTATTAATTTGGTCACTTATCTATTCATGAGAGCTATATGTACCAAATTGATGATGTGGCTTTGAATGCTGCATTTTGAACACAGAAAAAGTATGGAGTTCAAATAAGTTCGAAAAATTGAAATCCCTTTGTAACAGACGAGTTTCCGTATGAAACCCTGATACCTCGAAAAAGATTGCCCGTTTTGTACACGAAGTGCATCCAGTTTTTGCCTTAAGCCTCTCTACTTTCTTGCACATGCTATGTGGGTAAAATGATGATACCATGCCAACTTTCAACCTTTTCAGAG